TGTGTGTGTGTGTGTGTGTGTGTGTGTCCAATGTGTTCTATAAATTATTTTTCTCTTGCTTTTGTGATATGATTCCACTTATTCATTAATATGAGTTTGTAGAGCAGTAAAACTTGGAAGATGTCTGGGAACCTCTAAAATTGGTTTGCTTGGTTTATTTTCTGCTGCCAAGAGGCAAAGGCGGGTGATAATGTTTTGGCCAGTCTGTCTTTCGGTCATGAACATATCTCGTGAACTGCAGTGAATCGGTTGAAACACAAGAATGACAACACCTATGTCAATGGACTATTTTGTGGAAACCGTTTAGCGCTGCCTACTGGGAACTGTGCGCGGTTTGTGGGATTGTTTGGGCGCAACTGAAAGAAAAGTTAATGATGAGGCGGGTTCTCAAACTTTAAAGATTGGATTGTTGCGCYTCTTAAAGTGTTTCTTTTGATTGGTGATGGGCCAACTTCTAATTAGAAAAAGCACACACTTGTCCAGAACTTTTATGCTTCTCAAATGTTGTGATTAGTGCCGAAAATAGGAATCTGAAGAGGCAAAATTGAAGTAAGGTTATACTGTTGTAAAATAATTTCACTATGAGTATAATGTATTAATTACTATTACATATTATTTGAAAGTATGTGTTTTTTTATGATGGTAAATGCATTTATTGTTGTGGTCTACAGTCTTCTGTATGGCGTATATTATTGCTAATAAATAAACCGTACACAGTTATAAATATGTGTTCAAGTTTTAAGATAGTCCTTTTATTAAGTGGTCAAAATGATCTGTAGTCGGCAAATATGATACACAGCCAAGATCACTGTAAACCACATCAATATATTTTGCACTAGATCTATATTTTATATATCTAGACCAAGTGGTGACAATCTTCTTAAGTTTTCATTATTTTATATATTCTAACTTTCTTCTGAGTACCTAAAAAGCAACAATTGTTGCACATAAACAACAACTAATACACAGCACATCGATCTCCACAACTCATTTTCTTGGTCATTCAGTTAACACACCATTAACCCAAACTAAACCATGATGCTTTGACCAAAGCAAAAAATGGCGGTATCCGTGAAACAGTTCATTTTACAGATGAAATCTGGTATGGTAATAGTTGAGTCTTTTACAACCCACACCTGGAGCACTAACAGATCATGAGATCTTACAGTGACCTGTGAGGCTTAAAGCTAGACCTAAACTAGACTTTTGTCTTGTTGCTGGGAAGGAAATTATCTTTGTCTTATTTAACTCAAGTGGCTTCAGCCTCCAGCATCTTGTTATATTACATCTGGATGTGTGAGAGTCAGTGCTGAAAACAATTAGTCAACTACTGTAAGTCCAGAATTACATAATGAAAAACTTTATTTCATAAATTTGTTTTTAGGGCTAGATTTTTTACTTTTCTTTTTCAACAAAACTTGTCCCGTTCCTTATTTATCAAAGACTGTAGAAGCAAAACTACTGGTGTCTCTATAAACAGGACACAGCTGCAGCAGTTCGTTGTGTAATCTTTACATTCAGTTTGATTCAGTCTGAAACAAGCAATCATTTTCTGCCTTGTAGCGCTGCATTCATGACAACGTWCACACACGTCTCCAAGAATCCTTCCTGGCTTGTTGTTGTTTTGACTTCCAMCTCAGTCGCTGCAGGGACTGCAGGGAAATCCATGGATCTGTGTCTAATAGAAAGCTTTGGTGAAATCAAAAGAAAACAACAGAAGCACGCAAACTCAAGGGTATTAGGGAACTAAAGGGTCTTCATTTGAGGAGCAGTGGATAATAAACATTGAGATTCCTCTTATAAATGTTGTGATGTTTGTGTGGAGACTTGTTGTTTTGAGGTGTTGCATCATGAAATGAAACTAGTTTTGCTGTTTTCAGATGGATCCCACTGAGGTCGAGTCGGTCCAGGATGTGCTGGTGAGGGCAGCAGCACACGGCCTCCTGGGGGACACGGAGTTTAAACCATCAAAAACTGGTAAAAAGAAGAAAAGCATGAAGAAACGAACTGCTTCAGCTACCAGCAAACCGTCATCCCCCTCCTGCCAGGACGAGGAGGAAGGAGGGGAGTCTGGAATCGAACAGGATTCAAAGGAAACTTCAGAGCACGAAGGGGACAGAGATGAGGGAGAGCTTAAAGACGGTGAGGATGTGGGAGAAAGGAAAGAGGGCAAAGGAGTGAAGAAACAGAGAAGGCAAATGCAAAACTCAAAGCAAAGCAAAAAAGCCCCTGCAAATGAAAAAAGTTGCAAGAAGAAAACAAAGAAAAAGGAAAACCCATCTCAGGCCAAACAGAAGCAGGCAGGCAACAAACCAAGACGAATCCCCCGCCTCACGCTGTCGTTACTCACCTCTCCTAACCCTCCCTCCGACGTGGCTCAAATGATTGCACTCGCACGCACCTTCAGCGGCGGCCCAGCTGCTAAACCTCAGCAGGCGGGCCTCGGATCTCCTCCCCCCTGTGGGAAACAGTCCTGACCTGCTCAGCCTGCTCCATCTACTTCTACCAAGCCCCCTCCTCCTCAAACAACAGCTTCTGTCAGCGAGTTCCTGCCTCAGACCTCAGAGGAGTGAGGACAAAGTAAATTAGTGCAACTTTTAACTGTGAAGAGCAAGTAATCTTCTCTAAATATAAACATCTATAATTTTATTTATTAGCATTAAAATAATCCAACAAAGGTTTGAGATTTAAACTTTCTCATGTAGCAGAATGAAGCTTGGTTCTTTTTGTTCTGTGGGAAAATGACTTCATCATCTAACCTTCATTTGTTGTTATGGTTGTTATTGTCCTGTTTGGTCCTCCATTATCAGTAATAATAGAAATGTGCTTGTTTTGTCTTGATTTTATTCATTTATCTCTTGCACAAAATATAGAATGTGAATGATA